CCCAAAACATACTGCCAAGGCAACAAAGGAGTGGCTCAAGAAGAATCACATTAAGGTCATCAGCAGTTAGAGCAGTCTTGTGACTTCAGCTGAGCACTGGTAAAAGCTTGTAGGAGGAGTTTTCTTACTGCTCTAGAAGGATGCAAACCCCTGACCTCTGCCTGGACAGTGCTGATTGGTCCTGTGCTGATCACATGCACTCTTTCAAGGGGGAAAAAAAACCTCTCTAGTAATACACACTAAACTGAGCATGTGAAGAAGGGCTACGGGTTCAGTCTGTCTTATCAGCGTGGACAATTGAAGAAGAGGAGGGGCAGAGAAGTCCAGATCAAACAGCCTTTTTACACAATGCAGAGGATTAACCCCTTAGGTTCCACAGTGAGTATAACAAGCATGCTTTACTGCATATACAGACTGATTTTACTGTTGTGGGTTTAGTAACACTTTAGGTCATGGAATGGCCTAGCCAGTCTCCAAACCTTAATCCTATAGAAAGTTTATGGAGGGAGCTGAAACTTCGAGTTGCCAAGAATCAGGCAAGAAACCTTAAGGATTTAGAGAGGATCTGTAAAGAAGAGAGTGGACCAAAATCCCTCCTGAGATGTGTGCAAACCTAGTAACCAACTACAAGACACGTCTTACCTCTGTGCTTGCCGACAAGGGTTTCTCTACCAAGTACTAAAGTCGTGTTTTGCTTGGGGATCAAGTATTTATTTTGCTCACTGAATTGCAACTCAATTTATAACATTTGTATCACGTATTTTTTTCTGGATTTCTGGTTGATATTCTGTCTCTATTATTTAAAATACACTTATGATGAAAATTGTAGACCCTGCATTACTCTGTGAGCAACCTTACAAAATCTGCAGGGAATCAAATAATTATTTTCCCCATTGTATTCTGATTTCACCCTTACTTCAATGGCAGCAAAACCTTTCAGTGTCTCAGAGAGCTGAGATGCAAAAAGGAAGCCTGGTGCGCTGTATTTTTAAGAGGTCAGCAATGGTAGTTACCCTATTTCTTCCCGTACAAGTTCCCTTGAAATAAGCCATCCTTTTGAGGCAGCTCAATACTTAAATAGTGTAATATGGACTTTAAATGGCATGTGGCACAATCCTAAACAACCTCTGCCCCCTACCCCAGCCAAATCACCATCTGCAAAGCCAGAAGCTTTTGGAGGAGAATATCTACAAATGCTCATGTATACATACAGATAGGTCCATATATATTTGGATACAGTCACAATTTTATTTTTTTCAGGTATTTACCAAAACATATTCAATCTATAGTTATATATTGGATATGGGCTGAAAGTGCGCACACTCAGGTTTAATTTGAGGGTATGTTCATCTAGATTGGAGGAAGGTTTTAGGAAATACAGCTCTTAAGAATAGCCTTTTTCAAGGGACCAAAAGTAATTTGACAATTGAATCAAAAGCAGTTTCATGGCCAGGTGAGGGCTACTCTATTTCTTCATCAATTAAGCAGGTAAAAGGTCTGGAGTTGGTTCTAAGTGTGGTATTTGCATTTGGAATCTATTGCTGTGAACCTACATCAGGCGTTCATAGGAGCTGTCCATGCAAGTGAAACAGGCAATTGTAAGGCTTCAAAAATAAAACAAATCCATCAGAGAGATAGCAGAGTGGCCAAATCAACAGTTTGGTACATTCTGAGGAAAGAAGAACGCACTGGTGAGCACAGCAACATAAAAAGGCATGGATGTCTATGGAAGAGAACAGTGGTGGATGCTCTCTATAAAGAAGTGAAGGACACTGCAGGAGGTGGGTGTATCATAGTAAAAGTCTACAATCAAGAGAAGATTTTGCGACAGCAAATACAGAGGGTTCACCACAAGGTGCAAACCATTCATAAGCCTGAAGAATAGAAAATCCAGATTAGAGACTTTGCCAAAAACCAACTAAAAAAAAAACCAGACCAGTTCTGGAAAAGCATTCTTTGGACTGATGAAACTAAGATTAATCTGTACCAGAATGACGGGAAGAAAAAAAGTGTGGAGAAGGCTTGGCACAGCTCATGATCCAAAAGCACACAACATCATCTATAAAACATGGTGGAGGCAGTGTGATGGCATGGGCATGTATGGCTTCCAGTGGCACTGGGTCATTGGTGTTTATTGATGATGTGACAGAAGCAGCCAGATAAATTCTGCAGTGTTTAGAGATATACTTTCAGCCCAGATTCAGCCAAATGTAGCAAAGCTGATTGGACAGCGTTCCACAGTACAGATGGACAATGATCCAAAACACACTGCAAAAGCAACCCAGGAGCTTTTGAAGGAAAAGAAGTGGAATAATCTGCAATGGTCGAGTCAATCACCTGATCTCAACCCAATTGAACATGCATTTCACTTGCTGAAGGCAAAACTAAAGGCAGAAAGACCCACAAGCAAACAACAACTGAAGACAGCTGCAGTTAGAGCCTGGCAAAGCATCAGAAAGGAAGAAAACCCAGTATCTGGTAATGTCCATTGGCTCCAGACTTCAGGCAGTCATTGCCAATACAGGACTCTCAACAAAATATTAAAAATGAACATTTTATTTATGATTATATTCATTTGACCAATTACATTTGAGCCCCATGAAAATGGAGGGAAAATGGTTGCAGTTCCTAAAATTTGTACTTGATATTTATGTTCAACCCCTTGAATTAAAGCTGAAAGTCTGCACTTCAAATTCATTTTGATTGTTTTGTTCTAATTTATTCTGGTGGCAAATTGGGGTAATATGTGATCCATATATGGTTTTATACAACATGTGACTGAGACACTGATTTTAAAAGAACTTTTGTACAAATAAACTTCATATTTTAATATAAATTTTTGCTTTGCCTTAAAAGTCCCACCATGTCAAAGTTGTTATAATGGTTTAAGTAAAGCAGGGATGTGGCATACTTAGGCTGCCTTCCCCCTCCCCTCTAAAGCAAGCGCACATCACTCCCATACTTAAAAAACCCTCCCTGGACCCCACCAACCTGAACAACCTAAGACCCATCTCCCTGCTGCCATTTACCTCTAAACTCCTAGAACGTTTAGTCTACAATCGTCTGAGCTCCCACCTCACCGACAACAACTTCTCGACCCTTTACAGTCTGGCTTTCGCCTTCTACACTCCACTGAAACTGCCCTACTGAAACGCTCTAATGATCTACTAACTGCTAAAACCAACAGCCACTATTCAATACTCCTAATACTCGACCTCTCCGCGGCTTTTGATATGGTTGACCATCCCATCCTCCTCAAAAAACTACACTCTGTCGGCCTCAGAGACTCTGCTCTCTCCTGGTTCTCCTCCTATCGCAGCGCTCCTTCAGTGTTACCTATAATGCTGCCTCCTTGTCTTCACTCCCTCTCTCTGTAGGGGTCCCTCAAGGTTCTGTCCTTGGATCCCTTCTATTCTCCATCTACACCTTCTCCCTTGGTCACTTGATAAACTCCCACGGCTTCAATTACCATCTCTATGCTGATGACACGCAAATCTGTCTACCCCTCACCTCACCCCTTCAGTCTCCACTCACATCACTAGCCTACTAATTGACATATCGACTTGGATGTCACTCCACTTCCCCAAACTCAGTCTTTCCAAAACTGAGCTCTTAGTATTCCCCCCAGCCCGTGCCACCTCCACTGACTTCACCATAAATATCGATAACACAATCGTCAGTCCATCCTCTCATGCCAGGGTACTAGGTGTAATCCTAGACTCCCATCTGTCTTTTCAGCCCCAAACGCTGACATCATGTAGACTTCACCTCCGCAAAATCTCCCCCGCAACATCTCTAACCCCGGAAACCACTAAGCAACTTATTCACTCCCTTGTCATATCACACCTCGACTACTGTAACTCCCTCCTCATTGGCCTACCTCATCGCAGGCTATCCACACTCCAGTCTATCATGAATGCTGCTGCCAGACTCATCCACCTTACTAACCGTTCTGTATCTGCCACCTCTCTCTGCCAATCCCTCCACTGGCTCCCAGTTACCCAACGAATAAAATTCAAAACACTAACAATGACATGGTAAGCCGTCCAACAACACTGCCCCAAATTACATAACCGATCTGGTCTCTAAATATCACCCAAACCGTTCTCTCTGTTCCTAGCAAGACCTCCTACTCTCTAGCTCCCTTATCTCCTCCTCCCATGCTAGTCTCCAGGACTTCTCCAGGGCGTCCTCCATCCTCTGGAACTCCCTACCTAAATCTATCAGACTATCGCCTACTCTACTTACTTTTAAGCAATCACTGAAAACCTCTCTCTTCAGGGAAGCCTATCCCGCACTCTGCTAATACTGGAATCCTCTACTCTTCCAACCAGTCCATCCCCCACAGTTATGACTTATTGTACCATTAACCCCTCCCAAGGAGCAGGGCCCTCAAATCCCTCTTGTATTGAAATGTATTGTTACTGTTTTGTCTCCCACTATAATGTAAAACGCTGAGCAAACCATTGGCGCTATATAAATCCTGTATAATAATAATATTCTATATATATATATATATATATATATATATATATATATAGCATCACACTGTTCAGGTCAACCTAACATATTGTATAACTAACAACAGAGTATAGTAGCAAACACAAGCTTCCTGTAAATGTCTTTCTTACTAAACAAATCCCCTTTCGTGCATTGCAGAAGCCCTCAAAATGTTTCATGGGATTACAGAAGACATGGTGGAGCTCAGGTTTATTGCGGATGCTAAAGTTGTGGTTACAGTTGCAAAGAGCTTCCACTTAGATGGTAATCTAATTTATCTAACAGAAAAAAAAACCTAGTGACCTTGCTGTTCTGCTCCTATGAATAAAAAGAGAAGTTTCCTGTAAAGTGTCCCCAGCTATCTAAGCAACCTAGCTAGAAACCAGACAGAGGTGGCCAGTTGTGTTTCCTGCTACTAAACTGTATTGTTTTACATGTATAAAAATATTGAAGGTTCCCATGAAACATAACACTATACTACTGTTATTGTTAAGCAGCACCTGAGAGCTGGAGTTCTCAGAAGAGCCTGAATACGGCTCATGGTTGGGTGTGCCTTGACTGGCATTGCCTGCTGCACTCCAATTGTAGTCTTCCCCTCGGACTGAGTGGATGAGATCATTCAAGTACTTGTAATACAGATTGCTGGAGAGAAAACCAGGCAAGAAGACCTGAAATAAAATATATGTATATAACAAGTTAATTGCATTCATATGCAGAAACAGAAGCATATACATAACCTTAACCACTAGCCTACAGGGCACTGTCACCCCCTTCCTGCCCAGGCCAATTTCCAGCTTTCAGCGCTGTTGCACTTTGAATGACAATTGCGCAGTCATGCAACACTGTACCCTTATGACATTTTTATCATTGTTGTGTGACACATAGAGCTTTATTTTGGTGGTATTTAATCACCTCTGGGTTTTTTATTTTTTCTTAAACCAAAAACCACTGAAAAATTAGGGGAAAAAAACACGTTTTTTCTTAGTTTTTGTTATAAAATTTTGTAAATAAGTGATTTTTCTCCTTCACTGATGTGCCCTAATGAGGCTGCACTGATGGACACACTGATAGGTGGCACTGATGGGCATTGACAGGCATCACTGATGGGCACTGAAAGGCAGCACTGATAGGTGGCACTGATAGGCAGCACTGACTGGCAGTGCTAGGCGGCACTGATAGGCAGCACTGACTGGCATTGATAGGTGGCACTGAAACACTGAAAGGCAGCTCAGATGGGCACTGATATGTGGCATTGATGTGGCACTGAAATGTGGCACTGGCAGGTGGCATGGATGAGCACTGATGGACACTGACAGGTGGCGCTGCTGGGGCTACACAGATCATCAGGGCACACTGATCATCAGTGCTCTGATGATCTGTGTACATGTCCCCTCCGAGGAATGCCGATTACTGGCTCTCCTCTCCTCACGAGCTGTCAGCGTGACAGCTCGTGAGGAGAGAAATGGCGATAACATGCATTTCCCTATTTACATGCGATCAGCTGTGATTGGACACAGCTGATCACATGACCGAGCCAACATCTTCGGCTCTTTCCATGGATCGGTGATCCGCTGTGTCCGAGGGACACAGCGCACCGCCGATTGCCGCGCTGCGTGCTCCAGGAGCCGCGCATGTGCGATTAAAATGGGAGGACGGCATAGGACGTCCTCCCAGAACGAGAGAACCACCTTGAGTCCGTCTTATTACTATATGGCGGGCGGGAGGCGGTTAAGAGAGCTGTTCAATTTCCTCTAAAATTCTGACATTTTCAATAGGGTTGTGGTAAAAAGACACCCAACACCTGGCACATTGCCAATAGAGTGGTTGTAAACCCTTACATATACCCAGCGAAATGACTGGCCTCAGGTGATACACAGAGATGCAAAGGAAACCTCCTTCATAGGTTGTACTTGTTTATCTGCATTCATTTCATCTTGGAGGAAAGGGACACACCCCTCTACACATACTTAAAAAAAAAAAAAAAAAAAAAAAAGTACTAAAGAAGCTGAAAACCTAGCTACTGTTTACTGTTGTGTAGAAAAAATTACCTTATTGTTTTAGACTCCCCATGCCCATTTTGTTGCAGTGAATGGCCTGCAGGGGGCAGCCCTGTCTGGGCAGCCCTGTCAACCCTACACTGCAATAGCACTATGAGAAGCTGTTCCTTTACACAGCCCAAGCTTCAGGTTTTGTTTAGATAAGTGAAAAGTCTGCTGCACAAAATTGTCAAAGACAGAATTCTACCCTTCCTTTCAGTAAGAAATGAAAGTTATGGGAATGTTACAGCTGAGCTGCCATCTCATTGAGAAAAACCTTCTCGATTCCCTTCAGTATGGATTTTGCCCCCAACACTCCACAGTAACTGCTCTCCTAAAACTCACAAACTACTTACCAACAGCTAAAACACTAATCCATACTATTACTCTTTGACCTCTCCACTGCCTTTGACACAGCTGACCACCCCTCCCCCTCAAAAAACTATTTACTTGGTCTCCATGACTGTACTCTCCGTTGGTTCGAATCTTACCGCACCTTTAGTATCGCTTACAACTTTACTTCCTCCTCTCCTATTCATCTTACTGTTGGCGTCCCCAAAGGTACTGTCCTTGGACCTCTCCTATTCTCGATCTACACTTCCTCCTTGTGTCAGCTGATAGCTTCCCATGGTTTCCAATACAATTTCTATGCTGATGACACAAAAATCTCTCTACCCCTCAGCTCATCCCATTAGTTTCCTTATGTATCACCAATTTACTAACAGATAGACTGGATCTCACACCGCTTCCTAAAACTCAATCTATTCAAAACTGAGCTCACAATATTTCCTACCCCACGTGCCTCTTCCCCAATTTCACCATCAAGATCAATGGCACAACTATCAACCCATCCCCAGATACCAGGGTGCTAGGGGTAACCCTGGATTCTATATACCATCCTTTCAGGCCCACATCCAATCCCTGTCCATATCTTGCCGCCTCAACCTCCACAACATCTCCAGAATACGCCCCTTTCTAACCAATGACAGCACAAAGCTTCTAATTCACTCCCTGGTTATCTCTCATCTCAACCAGTCCCTCCTCATTGGCTTACCTTTACATAGGCTATCCCCCCCCCCCCCCTTAGTCCATTTCATAAATGCTGCTGCCAGACTCATCCACCTTACCAAGCATTCAGACTCTAGTATACCTCTCTGCCAATCCCTCCACTGGCTTCCACTCAACGAATAAAATTCAAAACACTTAGAAAAACTTACAAAGCCATCTACAACCCTGTCCCCAGCTACATCACTAACCTGGTCTCAAAATATCAACCAAAATGCTCTCTTCAGTCCTCTCAAGACCTTCTGCTCTCTAGTTTCCGTGTCACATTCTCCCATGCTCGCCTCCAGGACTTCTCCCAATCTCCTTCCATCCTCTGGAACTCCCTACCCCAATCTGCCAGAATATCTTCTAATCTATCCACTGTTAGACGATCCTTGAAAACCCTTCTCTGTAAAAAAAAAGCCTATCCCGCTTCTAATAAACTGCGTTAACTTTCTCCATCAGCTCATTCCCCAAAGCTATTACCTTTTGTATCACTCGACCCTCCCTCTTAGATTGTAAGATCTAATGAGCAATGCCCTCTGATTTCTCTTGTAGCAAATTGTATTGTAACTGTACTGTCTGCCTTCACTTTGTAAAGTGCTGAGCAAACTGTTGGAACTCGGGGAAAAACCCATACAATTACAATAAACCAGCTACTGAGATGTCCAGGGAAGCCAGACCTTGTCACACTTCCAGGGGCAACCTAGGTTAGTTTATGCATTGGTAAGGCAGCATGAATCATAGATTCACAAGATGACATAACTGGGGGAGAGGTAGACGACCGTTTACACAAACTTTATTTCTGTCACAGGTGAACAGATGTGTGACTACTAAAACTACAGAAAAGTCCTGTCACTGTTTCAGTAATCAAGTTTATCATCATTCGATATGAAAAAAGAGCACACAGTAATTCTGGTAGAATTTGATGTCTGACCTGCAATGGCTGAGAAAACAAAACAGCTAAAATCTGTATGCTGCTTACATCAGCATTGCTTCCCTCTGCACCAGAACTAACTCATCTGTTTGAATTTTTTAAATCACCTCAATATTTATCTTTCCTCTCACTCAAGAAAACAGCTTTTTTTATACACCTATTATACCTATACCGATGACATAATCAGACTAGTTGTGATTGCACATGTATTCTATTAAAACGTAATATTGGAGGAGAGATATGTTTCCAGTGAGCAGACAACAGTTTTTGTCTGAGTGTCATGGTCTCACCTTCTCCATAGTGGTCCAAGCCTGACGCAAGGGAGTGGTGAAACAGTTTGGGAGCGGGCCACCCTCCCGGCAGATGTTGGACTCAATTTCCAGACGCACAGAGTCATCAAAACCTAAAGGGTGTGTTGCTTGCAGAGAAAAATACCTAAAGAGTGCAATGAAAGGCATTTGAATTCACTCAGTTTTACAGACCCAGTTTGTAAAATGATACATGTACATGGCCCTTGAACCCCTCGTGTATTGTATTGTTACTGTATTGTCTCATGTTCTGTCCCCCACTATAATGTACAGCACTGAGCAAACCTTTTCGGCGCTATATAAACACTGTATAATAATAAAAATACATGTCGATAAGTTATCATGATAGAGAAATATCCATTTCTATAATATGGGAAATATAAGAGCACTTGCTGCCCCGCCACCGTACATTTACTGCGGCAGGACAGCAGACACAGTCATATATTATATACACATACACACACGATCAGCCTTCTTATTGGTGTGAGGGGCGTCCCTTACCGACCTGTGCTATGATTGGACACACACACAAAACACAGAACTCTAAAACGGAACAGCAATCTGGCTGGCTTTTGCTCCCTGCAAAGCAGGGGAAAAAACAAAAATGGCCATATAGTAAAGTAAAAGCAGCACATATTACACACATTACACTTGCTAGGCATACAACCAATTGAATTCCCCTACATGTTAACCCCTTCCCAGCCAGTATCATTAGTACAGTGACAGTGTACAGTATTAGCACTGATCACAGTATTAGTGTCCCTATAATGTCAGTGTCAGTTAGTGTACCTCCCATAAAAACCTCCCAAACTGCATCATAAACAACACTTACTTATCATAAAGGATCATAGCATCATTCTGTGCCTCCTGCCCATCATACTGGCCATTCTTAGCGGCAAGTTGAGACTGGAAGTTGTCAGCAGCCAACCAGAACTGCAATATGTTTACTGCATCCTCCTTCTCCATGTACTGTGAAAAAAAACAATATTTTAAATTTTACTTCTCTGAAACGTATTACTCTTTTAGAATTGATATTAAAAATGCAAAAATACTTGAGGAATAAGGTCAAGAGTTGCATTATCAAAAAGTAACCACTTATAGATGCATGGGACCCTCTCCAAGCAATCAGCTGTGGTGAAATGCTATTTACTGCTCATTGATGCAGTGTAATTTCCAAACTAAAGTATATTAACCCTTTACCCTTCCTTAGTCTGCACATTAACCCCATCATTTCCATCCTCCTGCTGTATGTGGCCTGTACATCAACCTCATCACCATCTCCTCCCTCTGTGTATGACCTGTATGTGTTGTATCTAGTATACCATTATCAAGCTCTATATTTAACCATTTCCATACCGGGCACTTTTACCCCCTTCCTGCCCAGGCCATTTTTCAGGTTTCAGCGCTCTCACACTTTGAATGACAATTGCGCGGTCATACAACACTGTACCCAAACTAAAATTTCATAATTTTCTTCACACAACTAGAGATTTCTTTTGGTGGTATTTAATCAACACTGGGGTTTTTATTTTTTTGCTAAATTAACAAAAAAAGACCAAAAGTTTTGAAAAAAAAAAAAAAAAAAAAACCACGTTTTTCTTTGTTATAAAAGTTTGCAAATAAATAATTGTTCTTCATAAATTTAGGCCAAGATGTATTCTGCTACATTTCTTTGGTGAAAGTAACCCAAATTAGGATGTATTATTTAATTTGTAGGAAAGTTATGGAGTTCACAAACTATGGGATATATCTGAAAACTGATCAATCCTGAAGTACTGACAGCCAATCTAATTTCTTGAGGTCCAAGAATGTCAAAACAGTACAGATATCCCCCAAATGACCACTTTTTGCAAAGTAGACAGTCCGACGTATTTCATAAGAAGCATGGCGAGTTTTTTGAAGTTGTAATTTTTTGGAAAATGAAAAAATAAAAAAAAAATTATTTTCACTATTTTTTTTTTTTTTTTTTTTTTTACATACTGTCACCAGTGCAGTACAGCGTCATCATATAACTGGCATGGCGGTGATCAGGGACACTGGTGACAGTACGAAAAAAAAAAAAATTGATAATTTTAAAAAACAAAATTTAAATTTAATTTGTTTTTAATTTTTTATTCAATTTTTTTTTCATGTTTCACTATGACCAAAGTAGTATAATGTTACCATAGTAACATTGTACTATTTTGGGGAATTGATCAGTATTTTTTTGTTTTACACAATTTGCTTATAGCAAATAATTACTTTGCTAAAAGCAAGCATTTACCTGAATGACATCGATTCATTCAGGGTAGATGGGCTGTGATTGGCCCAGCTTGTGCATGTGATCGCTGTGACCATTCACAGCTAGACACACTTGTATACAATGGATGGCATGAAAGGAAGCCATCCATTTTGTACAACTGTCATGTGACCTGCTGTGATTGGTCACAGCAGGTCACATGGTACTGGCAACGGGCCGGTACACAGATCTGTCATCGGCCGCGTCCGAGGTACATGGCCGGTGACAGATCGCGCCGCAGAGCGGCCCTGCGGGCAGGCACACTGCGTATGCCTGAAAGGACACCATATGGCGTACACCAGGAGGGACGAGCTGTTCACCCGGCCGCCATCTGGCTATAGGCCGGGCAGCAACTGGTTAAACCCCCTCAATATCTGCATCTTCTAATAAACTAAGAAAAGATGAAAATATACATGGCCAAATTAAAATTGGTTTTCTTTACAAAGCTGGCAATGAGAAACACATATGAAACCAGCAACAAATTGTGTATTCTTACCTCTGAAAAGTAAAAGAGTGCTGATTCGCAAAACAATATATCTGACAGGTAAACTATTCCACTGGTCAACACTTCAATTTGATATTTACAGAAATGCTGACTTCGCAAAAATTCAGGAAAGTGCCTGTACAACACAAAGGAAACTATTAGCAAAGCTCTGACAATGATAATAAACAAATACAGCCAATCAGTCTAATTTGTTTTATATCAAAAGCACCATTTTCGTTATCCATCAAAGATATAGATGCTACAATTTCACAGTATTGGTTAAAAAAATTACAGCAACCCCCTAACTGGTTGTCAACTGCTTCAAAATGCACATTACAAAACAAAAGCAAGATTCTAGTATATTTGTGTTCAAGTATAAGTAAATGCAAAACCTTTTTGTTTTTTAGTTTTTGGATAGAGTGGAAGTAGATTAGAACATCTGGCAGGCTTTTTGTTGCTTTCTGTACCCCCATTAGGGAGATTCATCCTCTCCATTTGCCCTGTTTAGCATGATCACTGAAAATGAAGGAAAATCACTAATTTTGAGTTGTCCCCAGAAAAGGACTAGAGGGGAAATCTTCCAGTGGTAACACTACTTTTGGTGACCCTGGTGACAACCAGGGATTCTCTCACTTTGGGGGAATTTCCTCTCACTTTCTTGTTTTGACTTTGGAAAAGGAAGAGAAGATAAATCTCCCCCAATAGGACACAGATAACAAAAATAAAAACTTACAGGGAATATAACCCTCCCTTACTCTATCCAAAAAAAAAAAGTTTTGCCTTTAGTTCTACAATGTTACTTCCATCTTACCCCTTCTAGTTTTAGCCATCAGGCCCACAAAACATTTCTTCAGGTAAGGAAGGGTGGAGGGGAACATTTTGAGGGAGGGGAATGTAACATGTTTCATGTACCTCCCTAAAAATTCAAACCAAGCTCAAAAAGGTGAAGTGTGTCTAACATTTGATATTGGGGACTATTTAATATTTTGCTTGCACTGATCCTTAAAAAAAATGTTTTTTTGTGTCAGTGTAATGATGCCTCAGTAATTAACATCCCACCATCATACATACAGTTATAAAAACTTACTCTTGTTCCATGGCATTAAATACTATGGCCTGTGCTGTAACAAAGCAGTTGGGGTCCACTTGCCCATCTTCACCACAGATCTTAGCTGCAAACAATGAAAAAGACAATGTCATCAGATCATTATCAACAGGCAGAGCTGCAAACACCTGTTTTCTGCTCTGTGTAATTGTGTTGAAAGTTGGTGCTGGAGATACCAACTATGACATTTTTTACATTAAGGATGCATTCAGTTGAGCAAACATTGAACTAAGCAACCTATCCAGTCCAAAAGCAACAGGTGAAATAAATCACTTTTAGCGTTACCAAAAAGTTTACCTCCTACAGATTTAGCGGCTTGTTTACCAAAACTGGAGAATGCAAGATCTGGTACAGTTTTGCATAGAAACCAATCAACTTTCAGGTTTTATTGATTCATTGAACAAGCTGAAGTTAGAAGCAGATTGGTTTCTATGCAGAACTGCACCAGATTTTGCACCCTTCTAGTTTAGTAAATCTACCTTGAGTTTAGCAATTTAAAAGAAAGCAGTATTTGCATATGTCCAGTTGTGAATGTTTCTCTTAAAAAAAAGCAAAAAAAACACTAATGCTAGAATGCAATGTTTGAATTAAAGTTTTTATGTATTAGCCATCTCAGAGGAGAGAATGAACAAAAACCTGACTTAGTCTCACCATTATCACAAGACAGAGGCATGAAACCCAGTTACACAGAGTCATGTGGTCTTATAATAAGGAAGATCCCTGAACAAATCCACATGAAGAAGCTGCACCGACACTCAGGTCAGGGCTTCTCCCTATATCTGGGTATATGCAAACTTTTATACCTACAACATAGTTTTCATGAACATGACAGCTAGATGTGTTTCATCTCATTAGTGCAATATTACACTTGCAGATTTTATAAAAGTAATCTCTGGGCTCATGCCACTAGTTAGCAAACATTCCATGTAAACACAGTTCATGAGAGTTAAAAGAAGAGGCTACAGAAATATGTTCCATTCTGCAGAGGAGTAAAGATGGATAGAATGTTAAATGAAAATTCATACATAAATTCTCAGAACATTCAAATATCATTCAAAAGATGTTTGCTTCTAACATTTGATTTTGGGATGAATTGACTTTACCAAACAAAAACCACATACACGGTTAGATAGTTTGTTCGGGAAAAAATTTCCCATCATGCTCACATAGATGGCAACTAATATGTAAGATGAAGTATGCTGCCCTAGGGTAAACCTGGAAAACAATGTCAGCACAAGTTACGGACAAGAAACCACATACACAATATAGGATATTGTAAGGAATGTAACCACTTGCCTACTGGGCACTTTTACCCCCTTCCTGCCCAGGCCAATTTTCAGCTTTCAGTGCTATCGTACTTTGAATGACAATTGCGTTGGTCATACAACACTGTACCCATGAAATTTTTATCATTTTTTTCCACACAAATAGAGCTTTCTTATGGTGGTATTTAATCATCACTGGGTGTTTTATATTTTGCACCATAAATGAAAAACAAGCGAAAATGTTGAAAAAAAAAAAAAAAAGTTTTCTTTGTTTCTATTATACAATTTTGCAAACAGGTAATTTTTCTTCTTCAGTGATGTGCACTGAAGAGGATGCACCGATAGGCAGCACTGATGGGCACAGATGGGCAGCACTGATAATGATAATGTCTGCTTTGACAGTTGCTGATTACCGGCAGTACTGTGACAGCATGAGGAAAGTACTGCCGATAACCGGCAAGTGTATTTACATAGTGGTCAGCTGTGATTGGACACAGCTGATCACGTGGAAAAAGGCCGCTGTAGTTGACCTTTTACCATGTCATGTGATCAGCTGTGTCTAAAAGGACACAGCGATCGCAGACAGCACCGAATACACGTCACTGGGGGCGCGTTCTGGGAGGACATCATACGACGCCCTCCCAGAACTGAACTACCGCTCTGTAACCGTCATTTGGCTACAGCACGGTAGTAAAGTGGTTAAGGATATCTGAAAGTGCCTTTACTGCACTCACATAAAAACATGGATAGGGAAATGCAGTCCACAAAAGAAGCATCACAGTGCAGCAACTACTACTCTAGATTTTCCTATATGAACGTTTGAAAAGAAACGGACATAAAAATATGGAAGCTACCAAAGTAGAGTGTGTGTGTTTTAATGCTCCAAAAATATTGTTTCTCTGCATTTTTGTACCTGTATACACTACTGGTCAAAAGTTTCAGAACATCCCTATATTTCCAGGTTTTATTGAAATTTACGCAGTTTAAGGTCTCGATGTACTCGGAAAGCATAGAACAAATAAATCGGACATAAAGTAACAATTAAATCGTTTTTTGCACCACAAAGTAATCTAAATTTTTGGCTGCTCAAAGTAGCCACCTTTTTCAGATATAACAGCCAAACACACATGTGGCACTCTTTCTACAACGGAAATCAAATATTGTTCGGAAAGTTCTTCCCAGCAGTGTTGCAGAAGTTCCCACAAATGCGTTGAACTTGTAGGTTGCTTTGCTTTCACCCTTCTGTCCAGATATTCACAAACCAGCTCAATGGGGAGTTAAGTGTGGAGACTGCAGGTCAAGCAAGGATTTGAAGCCTACCATCTTGTTCTTTTCTTCTAAGGTAATTTTGATGGCCTGGAGGCAAGGTTTGGGCCATCATCTTGCTGAAGGGTGAACCCCTGACCAACTAGACATATTTCAGAGGGTATCGCATGGCACAGCAAAATTATCTGTGCAAGTCTCAGACTCTAGATCCAGCAAAACAGCCCCAGACCCATGCTAGCTTCTCCATTTTTAAAAGTTGGTGTAACACACTGAACAACCATCCTTCAACCTACTTGACTATGTACAAAAACCATGCGTTATGGAGCAAAGATATCAGATTTTGATTAATTGGAGCAGAGGGACCCCAGTGAGAGGGATTGATAGTCCTCACTGATGTATTTAATTACGTCAGCAGAGGAACCTTGACCTTTGTGCGCTGAATAGCTGGTCAAACAAAATTAAATTTTTTTTAAAAAAAGACGAGAGGATCAGATGCAGGGGGTAATTCATTCCTTCAAGCCAGGTGGGGAGAAGGGAGGAGGAAAGCAGCTTTACACAGACCACAGAAATGGCAAGGGGACAGGGAGATACAGACAAGCTGTACAGAGATGCCGAAAGACGAAAACTGACCACTCGATCATTGAGCGGCAACCATGACTAGCGTGGTCAGTTTACAGACAGGAACAGGCAGGATCAAAAGGTATTATACAACATGAAAATGACTAAATTGCATTGCAAGATCAGGATGCAGTATATTCTGCCTTAAAAGATAGGAACATGATTTTTTTTATTAGGCTTGCATAACACTTTAATTTACTTACTTTGCTGCAGAATAACTGAGTTGTTAACCCAATACTTCTTCCCTAAAAAAAGCCATTTTGTATAACAATCAGTTTTCGCTACCTAAAACTTTTTTTTTTCCCACTTCTTGCAGTTTACCTCTTACCTTTGCACCATCTTAGGTTACTCATTTTATATTAAAAAAAAAAAAAAAAAAAAAAACACACAACATGGAAAAGTGTGGGTGTTCTAAAACTTTTGATCAGTAGTGTATGTATAGCAGTGGCCAAAAGTTTTGAGAAGGACATTTTCATGACATTGAATGACAGTTTTGACAATGAATATTAATTTTCACAAAACCTGCTGCTTCAGTGTTTTTAGATCTTTTTGGCAGATGTTACTATGATATACTGAAGTAAAATTACAATTATTTCATAAGTGTCAAAGGCTTTTATTGATAATTACATTAAGTTTATGCAAAGAGTAATTTGCAGTGTTGACCCTTCTTTTTCAAGACCTCTGCAATTCGCCCTGGCATGCTGTATATCAACTTCTGGGCCACACCCTGACTGATGGAAGCCATTCATGCATAATCAATGCTTGGAGTTTGTCAGAAGTTGTTTTTTTTTTGTTCACCCGCCCCTTGAGGACTGACCACAAGCTCTCAATGGGATTAAGGTCTGGGGGGTTTCCTGGACATGGACCCAAAATTTGATGTTTTGTTTCCCAAGCCACTTAGTTATTGCTTTATGGCAAGGTGCTCCGTCATGTTGGAAAAGGCATGGTTTTGTCACCAAACTGTTCTTGGATGGTTGGGAGAAGTTGCTCTTGGAGGATGTTTTTGTACCATTATTCATTCATGTCCGTGTTCTTAGGCAAAACTGTGAGTAAGCCCACTCTCTTGGCTGAGAAGAAACACATGAATGGTCTCAGGATGCTTTACTGTTGGCATGACACAGGACTGATGGTAGCGCTCACCTTTTCTTCTCCAAGCAAGGTTTTTTCCGGATGCCCCAAACAACTGGAATGGGGATTCAGAGAAAATTACTTTACCCCAGTCTTCAGCAGTCCAATCCCTGTACCTTTTGCCGAATACCAGTCTGAGAAGCGACTTCTTTGCTGCCGTTCTTGACACCAGGCCATCCTCCAAAAGTCTTCACCTCACTGTGCATGCAGATGCACTCACACCTGTCTGCTGCCATTCCTGAGCATGCTCTGCACTGGTGGTGCCCGATCCCGCAGCTGGATCAACTTTAGGAGACGGTCCTGGCGCTTGCTGGACTTTCTTGGGTGCCCTGAAGCCTTCTTCACAACAATTGAACCTCTCTCCTTGAAGTTCTTGATGATCCAACAAATGGTTGATTTAGGTGCAAACTTAGTAGCAGCAATACCCTTGTCTGTGAATCCGTTTTTTGTGCAAAGTAATGATGAGTGCACGTGTTTCCTGGCAGGTAACCATGGTCAACAGAGGAAGAACAATGATTTCAAGCACCACCATCCTTTTAAAGCTTCCAGTGTTATTCTAACTCAATCAACATGACAAGAGTGATCTCTAGCCTTGTCCTTGTCAACACTGACACCTGTGTTAGGGAGAAAAATCACTGGCATTATGTCAGCTGGTCCTTTTGTGGCAGGGCTGAAATGCAGTGGAAATGTATTTTTTAGAATTAAGTTAATTTTCATGGCAAAGAGGGACTTTGCAATTAATTACAATTCATCTGATAACGCTTCATAACATTCTGGAGTATAAGCATATTGCCATCATAAAAACTGAGGCAACAGACTTTGTGAAAATTGATATTTGTGTCATTCTCAAAACATTTGGCCAGGACTGTACATTATATATGCAGGTTCTGCTTCAGGTTGTGCTTTGCTGATCTGCTCTGCCACGAGTCCCGTCTGATGGAATATAATAGACACTGTAGTCTATCATGGATATCCACAATGCCTCATCAGCTGTGAAAGGAGCAGCACTGTCACCCTAGAAGAGAACTATAGACCATCACCTCCTCTCCAACACAGGGGGAAGTATTCTTCAGTCTATACAGAAAGCTGGAAACACACAGACACACGGTACAGTGTATATTAATAAATGATCCTTTTATTACAAAATTATCAGTATTCAACCACATACCTACAATATCACTCCTGATCTCCTCACTGATCGGTATGGGTTTAGCAGCATCCGGAGAAATGTATTTGGTGAACGTATTTACAGCATCTCGCTCTATACCTAACAAGAAAAAAAGCTTAATACATAACATAGAAGTTCAGAACTAGCATGTTAGTATACATTTCCTAAAGTGACCCAACTACTACAAAAGACAAGGTATATTTTCACCAGACATTTCAATGGTACCCACACAATTATTGCCTAGACGGGCTGAAATTGTACCTAGATCAGGTAGCAACATCTTCACTGCAGAAATCACTGCTCCAGGTACCCAAGGCATGGCATTTGGTCATGTGATCTCTGCAGTAGGAGACCAATAGAGTTTAAAGTTTCTGATTCTTCACCCTTCAGTAGCGATCCTATGACCAGCTGCAGTTTAGGAGCCCCAAAGAAGGCAAGTATTCCAAGACCTTTGTGTATAGGTAGGGGGTATGGCCAAGTTTTCATTTAAAACATATATATATATTTTATTATACAAAGGAAATTTGCCATGAAAGAAACATGGCGACTGTACCTGCTAACTTTTTGGAATATGCTATCAGTGACCCTTTTGCTTCAATGCATTTAAACCACTAACTTGGAACAGGTATGCATGTAAGGTCTTCTGACTTTCCTGATCTGCATCCTTATCCAAGATCAGTATGTCAAAATAATGAAGCCAGCAGGGCAGGGTAACAATAACCTAACCAGCAATCACAGTGGAAGAAACCACCTTTTACCAAGAACCCTGAGAAAAAAGTGAGAGGGACATGCCCTTTCATAAACAAGGTGACTTTTGCCACTTGCTCCATGCAGAAAGCAACTATGTTTTCCCATTGTAAAAAAATATAGAATATAAACATATATATACACACACACACACACACACAAATATACATACACACACGTACATACATATATACATACACACACACACACATATATACACACACACTAGGGATGCACCGAAATTTTGGTGGCTGAAACATTTTGGCCGAAAACACCCTTCGGCCGTCGGCCGAAATGGAAAAAAGAAAGCACCAATACAGGTGCTGAAAAAAAAACCCTGCCCCTCGCCGTCGCCTGTCCATTCAGCCTTACCTGAGAAACCATTGATCCTGGCGCTGGGCATAGAGATGCGTGGAGGAAAGATGGCCACCACACATCTCTATGCCCTTGGAGGACCAGAGCGATGTCACTTCCCGTTCTTGCCATTTTTTTTTTTTTTTTTTTTTTAAAGCACTAGATCAATGCTTTTTTTTGATCCAATGCTTTACATTGCAGAGGAGGAGGTATTATTGACCCCATATTTCTCCATAAAGAAGACCTGTCACTAATTATTTCTATCACAAGGGATTCATGCATTTCTTGTGATAAGAATAAAACTGATAAAATTTTTTTTTTAAAGTTTCCCCCGTCCCCCCATGCTCCCACATAGTGGTGAACGCATATGCAGGCCATGACCGCATATGTTCAAACCACATGTGAGGTATTGCCACAAACGTCAGAGCAAGAGCAATAATTCTCGCACTAGACCTCCTCTGTAACTTTACACTGCTAACCTGTAGAAATTTTTAAAGCATCACCCATGGAGATTTGTAAGTACCAGAGTTTCATGCCATTCCACGAGCATGCACAATTTTAAAGCCTAACATGTTTGGTACCTGTTTACTTGCCGTAACATCCTCCTTTCATATTTTACAAAAAATTTAGGTATATATTTTTTTTTTTAATCAAAGTGTATTTTTTTTTCCCAAAAATATATATTCATTTTTAAAAACTGCACATTTCGGTTTTCGGCCAAGTGCATTTTCGTTTTCGGCACCAGAATTTTCATTTTGGTGCACCACTAGATGATAGATAGATAGATAGATAGATAGATAGGGGATCTATCATAGATGCTGAAAAGCTATAGTAAACAATCCACCAATCCAAATGAGAAACATATCACCTTGGTGTAGATATATTAATTTTTACTGTGAATATTCAGCTTCTAAATTACACAAAGGCCAACAGAGGCTATAAAATCTATCTAGCATTCCCAAGCATTTCATTGCGATGATCTCCAAAAACAATGCACATAAGGCAATGGCTGCACATCAATGACAAAGCCTAAGGTTACTCTAAATAAGAGCGAGGGAAGATTAATAAAAATATGTCTGTATATGTATATATACATATTATATATATATATAAAATGTCTGAACAATGGTAAAGTAGAACACACAAATTTATTTATTTTTTTTTTTTTTTAAGAACAGTTTTATCTTAAATGATTATTAGGGATTCTAATTTTATTGAAACATTTTTGTAGTTAAAAAAAAAAAAAAAAAATTAGTCCACCACACCCTAAAAGGACAATAAAAAGACCACCTCTGTTAGACCTCTGGTAAGTCACATCATGTTGCTAAAGGCCTCTCAGAGCAAAGCCCTCTGGGCTTCCATTAAAGGATAGTAACAAAATAAAATGTATCTTCGTGCAGCAGTAGAATCTCAACTATGAACCCCCCCCCCCCCCCCCCCTCCCCATAAGGCTTTGGTGAAGGAATGGGCAAACTGAAGTTGTTTTAACAGAAATAAACGTTGGAATATGACTTTAGCTGCATGTATTTTAGAATTGTGTAACATTATGGAAGTCTTGTAACATATATAACAACAAAAATAATATTCACAGTTAGGGCTCATGCACTCGGGCCTATGCAATAAGTGCGCATTTTAGTGTGTGGGCAGCTGTCAGTTTTGCCCTGCAGAGAGGGGGCTGTATAATGAGGGGTTCAGTGCATCACATTGTTTACGCTTATCTTTTTAAAGAAAAATTTTGAAGTGCATAAAGTGAAGTCCCCACACTGCAGCATGATGTATTGTGCTGCAGTTCGATGCCATCCAGTGCAACACAGAAAAATACAGCATGCCTGCATTTTTACACACTACAACGTACATCACGCCAATGTTGTAGTGTGAAAAGGACACATAGAAAACTGTTGTTTTGCCCCTGGTGTTTTACGCAATTCAGAAAAGTGCTAATCACCCCACATACAGTAAGTGTGAACAAGTTCTTACCAATGTCAGACACTCTTAGGCCTTGTGCTGACATGCTTTGGGCTTGTGTCAATAGTATCAGTTTGAGATGCACCTGGGATCATTTGGAATTCACTGACAGATTCTTTTGACCTGCAGTTGATCCCCTGAAGGAAGAGCTGGAGGGCAGCACGCAACTCTCTGGCCTTAGAAGCCCTTTCAGTTCTGACTCTAAACTTCAAGAGTAAAGCCCCATTCATACTAGGTGAGGATGGAACTCAGATTCCCGCCCATGATTTTTTCTTTCACTTGAATGGGCAAGCCCTATGCGTGACGAAGAAGTTCCTGCATCTTTTTGGGCAGTGAGCTTTGCACTTTTTTTTTTTTCTTTAATTTTTTAACAGTGCGTTTTGTTACTTGCCAAAATGTGCATCTGCTAGCCACATTTGGAGAATTAGGAATTAATAGCACCGCAAAAATGTATGTGTTCCCAGAACATGCAGGCATTAAATGGGACCTAAGGCATAAACAAGGCTACCTATACAGGAGCATCATGGTCTTTAACACTGCCAAAATTCACACATTTTCACAACAGAGCTGGAAAAGAACAGACTTTGGGGTTGATTTACTAAAAGAAAAGATTGTTGTCTTTGCAAAGGAATGTTCACTGAGCTTAGAAATAATGTGAAATATTGTGAAGCTGTGCTCACTTCACCAGTACTGTAATGTGCAAGAAACAAATATTATTTTCAAACTTCCCATGAGCATGGTTTAAAATAAACACAGCTTTCCTTTTATTTCAAAATAAATTCTAGCATTAAATTTGCAAAGCGTACTTTCCCTAATCATTAGGTAAATCAGCCCCAAAGACTGCTACCAAAGTTAAGCTAGGCAAGCATGTTTCAGAAAATTCTGTTGGTGTAATGCTTAAAAGTAGTAGTAAGCTTTAATACTTTTACCTACAGGTAAGCCTAAAAGAAAGCTTACCTGTAGGTAAAATGTATATCTCCTAAACTCTTTTGAGAGCCGGCACATGCGCTCTAAATGAACGGCATACCTGTGCATTGGCCTGGGACGTCATCGCAACTCAGCCAGTCAGAGAGCCGCAGCTTGTAAACCCCAGAAGGAAGGAAGACCAGGTGAAGATGGAAGCCCTGTCAGCGTGACAGCACGCCGCTGGAGGGCTTCCTTTTAAGGTAAGTCCATCATAATGTGCTAGTATGCAATGCATACTAGCACATTATGACATTACCTTGCAGGGGATTTTTTCTTTTTTCTCCCCAGAGAAAACATTTACAAATTTGTAAATAGATAACTTACTCTTCATCAGTTTCTGTGACATGTCTTTCAGTCCTTCATCTGTTGGGCTGTTTCTGTTTGATGCATTAAGCATGGAAGACTGCTCATGCGAGGGTAATGTTTGATCTGTGCAGAGTTCTAGCTGGATGGCCGGCACTCGTCCAATCTTCTGTTTTGCCTGCAAATGATTTGAAGATCTGTCCTGCTTTGCAGGAGAATTCAGTCCTTTTAACCTAGACATGTGCTGTGGAACTTTAGAAGAATTTTGAGCTTGCTGAGTAGCTAATGCTAGTGATGAAACTGCAGACAAGTCTGGCCGCTTAGGAGCCGGAGATACTGGTTCTGCCAGGGAGCTGTGCTTGACTGTGTTTAAACTGTATGCTCTTATTCGGGACCAGGTCGTGGAATTAAAACTTTTTGCCTCCAGCCAGAACTTTACTAAATGTTCCATTCTGCGGAGTTCCATAAATTGGATAAAATAAGGGAGGGCCACATTGTCTTGTAGCACCTGTGCCAATGTCTTTGAAAGGCTAGACTTTGCATCCTGGGACTCATAATTCAGACACGATCGACCTAAAAAAAATTGACATTCAAGGGTTATTAAAAAAAATAAATTAAAAAATGCCCCAAATAGATTGAAGCTATTAGCTTACCAAAAATGAATATACATACATATATCAGCAATTCAGATTACAAGTACCTACTCATAAATTATATATCAGTGTTGTGTGGACTGACCAATTCATGAGTTGATTTACAAAAAAAGACACCTAGACTAGGCACTTTGCAAGTGTAGTTGCTTTAGAGTTTAGTAAATGAAGGGAAGCTCTGCTGACTCCCATCATCCAATCATGTGGAAGCCAAAAAGTCATTTGTTTGGTTTTTTTTTTTATCTTTCTTGCACATGATTGGGAATTCTTTAGAAAGTGAGGAATTACCTCATTTACTAAACTCTGCAGCACCTGCACTTTGCAAAATGAACAGCCTAGTTGCCTTTAGTAAAATCAACCCTAAAAATGTTTAAGAGGGTGAACAGCACCTAAAGGCAGTGCATCCCAAAAAAATCAAAATACAAAAATAGAGCACACAGAGGCCATCATTTATTGCTCCATTAAAGAACAATCCAGCAACTTTGGGCAAACCGGCCCTTTTAACGATTGACTGTACTATGAAGGAGAAATGGTGATACATCTGTCTTCAGGTCCTTCAGGCTGATGAGGCATATTTTATCAGCATTAGCAAAGTGAGTTTTAAAATAGGTTATACCACATATCGTTTTAAGAGTTCTGCAACTAAATTTTCTACCATTCTCCTGACATAGCGCATTAATATAGGTGGTCATATATACAGAGAACGTCAAATAATAATTTTTCAAGAAATTTGAGTTGAAAAAGGCCTTCTATACAAAGAATACAAAATAAAATGTGATAAATTCAAAACATAAAGGCTAGTAATATACAGTTGTACAAGGCTCAGACCATTCTTACCTAGGTCTCCAAAGTGTTCTGCTTCCATATGGGTTGGTTGCTTTTTAAGTGCAGCAGTTCTGCTACTTGAGTAAGAGTCCATGTTGGCTGATATGGCATTGTAAGCCACATGGCTTGGTCCAGCTGCCTCCAGTAAGGCATTGTTTTTGGGACTCCTTGATGGGGAATGTACTGGTATAGGTGCTGGATCTGGAACATAAAGACATATTTAGCCAGTCTGTACTGTATATACAGGCCCAAACAGTAAATGAAAATGTCATAATGTCCTAGTTGGAACCTTGGGGTTACTTAAGGATTTTTCATTTTTTGACCTCGTCCTCCAACTGTATTTTTGAAACTGTCTGGATGTAAGCATTACAGGTCTCATAGACCCAAACGCTACAGCTGCATCTCCAAAATGGAGCCTGAGGCTATGTGTTTTGTGAACAGCCTGAGAGGAGAAGAGGCAGAGATGCGACTTGAAGCAAAAAATATTTTGGTGTCAGCCCAAAAAACGTCTGAGTAGGCATTGAAGTACAGCAGGAGCCTTACTTCACACGTGTAAAAGAACAGATCTGAAACCTGTAGCATAAAGCCAACGTGACAGCAGGTTTCTTTTCTGAATGTATAATTTCAGTAATGCTTGCAAGTTTTATGTCCAAAGTTGCACTTAAAGAAGCTACTAGGAAGCTTTTCCAGGTCTTCAGTACTACTTTAATTCTGATGGTAACCTGCTAGCAGCTTGTATAAAGTGACAGTCACAAGCAAGTGAGAAATCAGTGGATGGACTGTGATTTATGAACACTCTTTAATCTATGAATTGTGTTGATTTATTCAATAGATAATATTTAAGTCATGTTTGATTATTATTCAACGATATTAGCACTTTGGTTCATTTGTGAAATGTTTTCCACTGATTGGGATTGCATTTATTTGTAGTGGTGTGAGTGTCTTTTTTTATAAAAACATTATAAACTATGTTTAACATTCCCTAACTACAGCTAAAGTAAGCTTTAAAGGCTCCAATGAATGAGAAAGTAAACCAGGCCAGGATCCAAGGCACATGCTTTTGTTTTCCATTCAGCTCCACTTGTCAGTTCTGGAGGGTGTGGGAAAAAATGTTTTTAAACTCTGTCCATCTCCTCCCCGATCCCTTCTGTACAACATTGCCGATGTGTGGGTCTTGCATGGTTGGACCAGTTATTTGGGTAGTTCCCCTTTGATGACGCCATGGGCTACCTGGTGGTTCTCTGTATCATTTTTCAAAAAAAATACTTTTGGATCATTACATTCTGTTGATTTTAGGGATTTATTTGGTGACATTTTTATTTTGTGAACTTCACCCAGCTCCTGATGAAGCTATGGATGCAAAACATATTGAGCATGAGGAGTTTCTCTATCAAGTAACCGGTTTCACGTCAATGATACCAAGTGATCTGGACTATTTCCTCAACTGATGTATATATGATCAACTGGTTCGTGATATTGCCTCTATATGGTATTTACAATAGATGCCCAGCATCAGATACATCTGAATATGTTTTAATGGATATTTTACATCTTTCTATAAAGATATGGATTTTAGCTATTTTTGATGTGTGATTCACTGACTGAGAGCCATACTGTTAAAGTTCCAGTTTACATTTTATCCTTCAATCTACAGTATGACTTTTCTCACAAATCCTCCATACTCACATAATTAACCACTTCAATACTGTGCACTTTTAGCACCTTTTTGCCCAGGCCAATTTTCAACTTTCAGCGTTACTTTAAACTGGAAATTGCGACGGGCCACGTAGCTGAAACTTAACCACTTTGAATGACATTTTTTTGTGTGGTCAGGCTCCAATGACGCCATCTGAAACTTCCCACAAATAAACCACAGTGGTATTTGATCACCTGTGCATTTTTTGCGAGGACACAAAAAAAACAACAAAAAAAACTATATTTTTTTACCTCCAGTAAAGAAATCCCTTCTTCCTGACCAGTCTTTGCTAAAAAAAAAAAAATCCCCATGTTTTTGGTGAAAGTTATAGCGTGTACAAATGGCGGCTGGAGTTTTTTTTTATACGTAATGGCGGCGATCAGCGACTTTAAACTGCGGCGGGACAATTGCACTGGGGGGAACGGCCATGCAATACAGTGATCAGTGTTAATAAGTGACAAAATTGTGTAATTTTGGGGCGATCGAAGGGGTTAAACTGTGTGCGGTTTTACTAGGGAAAAATACTGCTGTGTATTTCTCTGCTGTGTGGGACCCGGTGAGAGACATCTGTAGCCGCCAATGGCGGCATGGGTAGGGTGATGCAAACGTCCCCTACCTGGAAATGCAAAATCATGTATATATACACACACATGTGATTTTTTGGCAGCCCTGCCACGCTGTAGTTCTGCTGTAGGGCAGTAGGGAAGCGGTTAATGAAAGCTCAAGAAATGCTCTAAATAAGTTTTGGGGGTCCATACTGCTTTAATACAAGCGGACACCAGTGTTCAATGTTATTTTATACTTTTGTCTTTATAGTGTGGGGGGGGGGGGGGGGGGGGACTTGAACATGCCAGGTAGTTGAACTGCCAACATGTGCTTGCTGAAGTCCTTTACTGACCTAAGCTGCTCTGTACGTACGGTACATGTTGCACTAACCAGAAATGTGGGGGAGTCGCCTTTCACGTTCAAACCAGTATTTCCCCCAAAAAAATAAAACCTTGAGGCTTCCAGAGAATAGAATTCCAACTTATATTTTTGGGCTGACACCAAAATATTTTTTGCTACAATAATATTATTAGTTTATAGTCCCCTTTCACATGGGGTGTACTAAAAGTGTACACACGTGGAGGGCTGCATTTACCCACACATGTATGCACAGGTGTTCTGTGCATCCCCATGCAGGCAGTCCTATTGATGTTAATTAAGACACAGTGGTTGCATGGACTGCATGTCCGTGCAGCCACTGTGTCCCAAATCACATCAACTAGACTGCTGGCACAGGGATGGCAGAGAACAAGCTGTGCATCCAAGTGCAGATAAACGTGGTCCTCCGCAGGCATTTTAGTATGCCCAATGTGAACAGGGCCTTAACCACTTGGCGCCAACCGCCTTCCGGCCCTTTAAGAGTTCTAAAAGTCGGGAGGTAGGCTTTAGCATCATGTGACCGCTGTGATTGGCACAGGTGTCACATGATCAAAAAGCTCCCGATCGCAAGTATGTATATGTATCAGGAGTTTACCGATCCCCGTCGGCTACCATGCTGGGAGTGCGCTCTCAGCGCAGTAAATTGTTTTACCAGGGCCACATATATGCGGGTCCTCGGCGTTACGGCCCACCCACCAAGCAGCCACATATATGCTTACGGCTGGCGCCAACAGGTTAAACTGCATACAACAACAAAAACCGTGAAATCCGTTCATAAAAGGAAAAAAAATAAAATAAAATAGTACAACCTCTAACTGTTTTGACATCTGGTTTCTCCTGGTCTTTTCCTTTAACTATAAAAGAAGAAAAAAAAAGCATTTGTTAGTCAAAACAACTCTAAACGCTCTTATTAAAAAATGTGTTTCAAAGAAAACAATACAATTAAGGTGGGGTGGGTTTGGTCAGAATCTCAGAATTATTTACAAGACAATCCCACCAAATACTAATATTTATTTAAAGGTAGATGACAATAAAACATCAATCACAATTATTAATTCTCTCTGGACCATCAGTTATAAGATCACCGAACCAAGGCCTCTAACTTGGAATACATACAAAAAAATGTATTTTCCTTCATTCACAAAGTTAAAGTAAGTTGGAACTTACAAAGTGAAGATTCAGTATCCTTTAGGAAACATTTAGTGATATTAAAGTGATTCTAAAGGCTGAAGCTTTTTTAGCCTCTTGCATTCTATGCAGGAGAGTAAAAAACCTTCAGTGTGCAGCTCCCCCCTCCCCCAATACTTACCTGAGCCCGATCCCAAACCAGCAATGTGCACAAGAGCAGTGGCTCTCCCAGGTTTCTCCCTCCTCACTGGCCATTGGCTCCTGCCAATCACAGGCAGTCAGGAGGAAGTGGGGGGCAGGAGTGAGCTGTGGTCTGTGGGTCTTATGGACACACAGAGGCGGCTCGGGAGCGACCATGTACAAGTGTTTCCAGAGCAAGCAGCTTGCTCTGGGGGAACTCAGCAGGGGGAGGGGCCAAAATTGCAGGGGACCCAAGGAGAAGGATCAAGGCTGCTTTGTGCAAAACCATTACACAGAACCATTGAACAGATCAGGTAAATATGACGTTTGTTTTTTGTATCTCAATCTGTCATATCACTAATTTGACCTAAGCAGTGCTCTGAAAAGCTGGATCCCCCCCAAAACAAGCCATGCACTTCCTGGTAAGTGAGAATACCTAGAGTCTCATAGCTGCAGTGAGATATTTGGAAGATTTAAGGAAGTCACTACTGTGCTGCCTGCTGAAGTGGAATGACAATCTCATTCTCCATCTATGCTTTTGGAACCTCTCCTGCTGTTTCTTGTGCATTCCATAGGAATTTATTAGATCATCAGTCATGAGGGGGGGGCAGCTCTGACCCTGAGGATGCAAAGTTCTCTCCAAAATGGTTGCCTTCACACAGGTACGCAAGTGTGCAGAGCAAGGATTGGTAAATCAGTAATGCAGAAGAGATCAGCTGTTGCAAGCCTACAGGCAATACTGGTGGCTCTCTCTTTGCCCTTTGCCTGTCTTTACTGGGCACAGGTTCCACAGTTCAGGTTTTCACCAAAGATGAATTCCAAGTTTCCCATCATTTTAACTAGTTAGGGCCAAGCTGGCCCAAAGGAATGGTTTCCATTTCCAAGTGATTCCGTCGCTGTGTGTGTTCTACTGCTGTAGAATCAGCTACACGTAGTAATTAGTACTGTGTTCTGCAGCAGCAAAGGTGACTTTCTGCCTGCTTCCGGAACAAAATATAATAGACCCACATGCTTCTCAGCCATTCAGGATAAGCCTTGTATTTTTATCAATATAAAGCTTACTGATTGGCTGAGATGCACAAGAAGCACAGCACTGTATACTGGATATAAGCAATGCTACTATAGTACGATACAGGGCCCATAATGTCCATATCATTCCTAATAGAAATAGTTCATGGGAATAGATGCTTCCATATTGTGTCACTCAACCACTTCTCTTTGGCCTCATTCACACAGGCGTACAATACAACACACCCCTACAGGGTCACGTTTACCTGCACAGGGATGCACAGGTGTTCCATGCATCCCCATGCAGGCAGTCCTACTGAGTTCAGGGATCTGTGCCTGCACCAATGTCATATTTGGACACAGTGGCTGTGTCTGTGCAGCTGCTGTGTCCCAAAAGACATCACTGAGACTGCCTGCAGGGGGATGTGCGTAACACCTGTGTATCCTATGCAGCTAAACACGGCCCATGCACGGCGTACAGTATTGTATGCCCCATATGAATGAGATGTATGAAGTATTATTTTATACAAAGTCTTTCACAGCAGACAATCTAAAGTTTCGTCAAAATCAAATTATGCAGTCATTAAAGTCATTATGCAGATACGTCAGTTAAAATAAAAATATTTTCAATCATTATTCCCCCATCCTTATTGGGCCTCAAAATGTGAAATGGGCCACTAAAAAAAAACTACCTTTATTTTTACTGGACTTTACAGCAAGACGAAATTTAACAAACATTATTTTGAAAGGAAAGTAAATCTGTAAGTATGTAGGATGTCATTGTTGACCTCTCCTCCTGAAAATGTTTCTTGCTTGGCTGTCATGGTATTGTCAGGGGTGTGGAAATTTAAAAAAAAAAAAAAAACCCTACTTGTCCCTCATGACAATCTACTTGTCCTGATTAAAAAAAATATACAGTATACTTTTTTCCCAGAATGGAAAATATGAAGGGTTGATGTTTCTTATTAGGCAGAGGTGCTTCTAGGAATAAACTAAAAAAATCCCAGCGCCAATCAAAGAAAGTGTACAATTATGCAGCTGTGCACCAGTGAAAACCACCAATAATAAATAACACAAAAAAACAGCGCAAAAATTAAATAAATAAAAATAATCACAAATAAATAAATGTCCGTGCAAATTATTTTTTTATATATTTTTGCACGGACATTTATTTATTTGTGCTTCTAGGAATGTCTGGGGCCTTTACAAATGAAAAACGGGCTTTATGGTGACAAACTTTTAATGTTTTTTTAGTTTTTGCAGAAAACTTCCTAGAACCCCCAAACATTATATATTTTTTTAAACATCCCTTGTGACAGCATTAGGCAGTAACAGGCACTCCTTATGGATCCCTCTTCTTAAAAGCATTTGATCACACCAAAATTGGGTAATCAAATGCTTTCCTTATTATAAAAATGGGGCCGGGGAAACTGGTGGTGATCTATGCTCATTGCTTCCTTTTTTTTTTTCTAGATCAGAGGCAGACAGAGTGGTTCTGGTTCTGAGCTGGCTGCTTGATCGGGTGGGAAGGAACAGCTCACCAGGGCTTTTTTTTTTTCTCAGAGAATAGGTGCAGGAACTCAACCATGTCCTCACTGCCTAACAGTGGGAGGGTCCTAATGGAGAATTGTTAAATACCAGTAGTGCACAGGGTTCAGGAGAGCGCTGCGCACAGACGGCAGGCTTCGGGAGAGCGCTGCGCACAGAGGGCAGGCTTCGGGAGAGCGCTGCGCACAGAGGGCAGGCTTCGGAGGGTGAGAGCGCTTTGCGCGCACAGAGGGCAGGCTTCGGGAGAGCGCTGCGCACAGAGGGCAGGCTTCGGGAGAGCGCTGCGCACAGAGGGCAGGCTTCGGGAGAGCGCTGCGCACAGAGGGCAGGCTTCGGGAGAGCGCTGCGCACAGAGGGCAGGCTTCGGGAGAGCGCTGCGCACAGAGGGCAGGCTTCGGGAGAGCGCTGCGCACAGAGGGCAGGCTTCGGGGAGAGCGCTGCGCACAGAGGGCAGGCTTCGGGGAGAGCGCTGCGCACAGAGGGCAGGCTTCGGGGAGAGCGCTGCGCACAGAGGGCAGGCTTCGGGAGAGCGCTGCGCACAGAGGGCAGGCTTCGGGAGAGCGCTGCGCACAGGGCAGGCTTCGGGAGAGCGCTGCGCACAGAGGGCAGGCTTCGGGAGAGCGCGCTGCGCACAGAGGGCAGGCTTCGGGAGAGCGCTGCGCACAGAGGGCAGGCTTCGGGGAGAGCGCTGCGCACAGAGGGCAGGCTTCGGGGAGAGCGCTGCGCACAGAGGGCAGGCTTCAGGGGAGAGCGCTGCGCACAGAGGGCAGGCTTCGGGAGCTGCGCACAGAGGGCAGGCTTCGGGAGAGCGCTGCGCACAGAGGGAGGCTTCGGGAGGAGCGCGCTGCGCACAGAGGGCAGGCTTCGGGAGAGCGCTGCGCACAGAGGGCAGGCTTCGGGAGAGCGCTGCGCACAGAGGGCAGGCTTCGGGAGAGCGCTGCGCACAGAGGGCAGGCTTCGGGAGAGCGCTGCGCACAGAGGGCAGGCTTCGGTGAGAGAGAGCGCTGCGCACAGAGGGCAGGCTTCGGGAGAGCGCTGCGCACAGAGGGCAGGCTTCGGGAGAGCGCTGCGCACAGAGGGCAGGCTTCGGGAGAGCGCTGCGCACAGAGGGCAGGCTTCGGGAGAGCGCTGCGCACAGAGGGCAGGCTTCGGGAGAGCGCTGCGCACAGAGGGCAGGCTTCGGGAGAGCGCTGCGCACAGAGGGCAGGCTTCGGGAGAGCGCTGCGCACAGAGGGCAGGCTTCGGGAGAGCGCTGCGCACAGAGGGCAGGCTTCGGGGAGAGCGCTGCGCACAGAGGGCAGGCTTCGGGAGAGCGCTGCGCACAGAGGGCAGGCTTCGGGAGAGCGCTGCGCACAGAGGGCAGGCTTCGGGAGAGCGCTGCGCACAGAGGGCAGGCTTCGGGAGAGCGCTGCGCACAGAGGGCAGGCTTCAGGGAGAGCGCTGCGCACAGAGGGCAGGCTTCGGGAGAGCGCTGCGCACAGAGGGAGCGGGAGAGCGCTGCGCACAGAGGGCAGGCTTCGGGAGAGCGCTGCGCACAGAGGGCAGGCTTCGGGGAGAGCGCTGCGCACAGAGGGCAGGCTTCGGGAGAGCGCTGCGCACAGAGGGGCAGGCTTCGGGAGAGCGCTGCGCACAGAGGGCAGGCTTCGGGAGAGCGCTGCGCACAGAGGGCAGGCTTCGCGCACAGAGGGCAGCTTCGGGAGAGCGCTGCGCACAGAGGGCAGGCTTCGGGAGAGCGCTGCGCACAGAGGGCAGGCTTCGGGGGAGAGCGCTGCGCACAGAGGGCAGGCTTCGGGAGAGCGCTGCGCACAGAGGGCAGGCTTCGGGAGAGCGCTGCGCACAGAGGGCAGGCTTCGGGAGAGCGCTGCGCACAGAGGGCAGGCTTCGGGGAGAGCGCTGCGCACAGAGGGCAGGCTTCGGGACTGCGCACAGAGGGCAGGCTTCGGGAGAGCGCTGCGCACAGAGGGCAGGCTTCGGGAGAGCGCTGCGCACAGAGGGCAGGCTTC